CTCCTCTAGTCTGCCCTGTCACACCCCTGCTATTAATTTTTTAAGCCTTTTCAGCTTTATCTCAGTAGGAGTTGAGGTCTAAATTCACACCTGCAGACCAGAAAATTTAAAAACTGCCACATTTAAAAGAAATGTAATTTGTTACTCAAAACCTTACTTATTTTAATTAAAAATTGGGACTATTAGGTGAAGATGTCTGAAAGACAAAGTATGGGTTACTTAATTTGAAAGCACTTGAGTACCGAAGTAAACTACGTTGAATTGACATCCCGTTCTGAGTAATTAAATCTACTAATGCATATTTTAAAGTTCGGTCCTTGAATGGATATGCCAGTCAGTAGCTACTGCGAAAAATGAACTGAAAAGGCAATCAAATTTTGTCGGCAGGTTACTGGTTTTGATTTTGTTAACTGTCTCAGAATATGTTGAAAAACAGTTGGATTTTCGGTTTAGTAGATTTCCATTTAATTGCTAAATTTTTAGTATACACTTTTAATCTTATTTCTGTACTTAGTGATCAGGCTCTACTTTATAACTCTTTGCCAAGAGTACTGCATCTCATGGTGTATCAAGCACCAAACTCTTACAGAGCTGTCAACAGTGGTCTTTAGTCAAACGAATGAAAAAAAATGGCTTTATAAAGCTTAAAATCGAGACACTGCTGAACACAACTTCTCTCTTTTTCCGTCGACGATCATCTTAATTTCAGCTTGTGATAACGAAGTGGAAGACCAGCGTTTAATTACAACTAAAGTACTAGTGTCTTTTTCAAAAGACCACTAAAATTCTAATCGTTTCTTCTAAATTATTTAAAGGTACTAATTTGTCTTAGCGTTACTTCAGCAGAACAGCAACAGCCAGGAACAGCTTTGTAACTGAGAAAATTTTTTACTGCAAACTTGTTAAAGAGACATTCACTTGTTGGTAGCAAAAATTTTTTTATTGCTTTAATTAAATTGTATTAAGGTTTTCCTTAAGTGTGTATCAGCTGGTTCCAGGTACATTCATCTTTATTTCATTTGCCATATTTTGTTCAGATCGAAGATCATAATCCTTCAACCACTTGTTTACCATGCAAATAGTAGTGAAATTCTTCATCACATAGGCTGCATGGCTGTCGGTTACTGAAGTGATTGCGTGGCGTCTAGATTGGTTAATCTCAGTGTTCTCAACTTAAGCCTCCGATTGATCAAACATATTCGATTCAATAAAATCTGTTCAGCAAGGCAGAAATTGACTTTATTTTTGACGGCCAGTTGTGCCTTGGTTTAAGAGTTGGTAAAACTTTCAAGGGTATTTTTGTGAGAGAATTCCAGCTTTAGTCAATGTTGATTTTCCTTCCACAGAAAGTGATCCATCCTTTTGTGATGGTATGATCTCCACTGACGACTATTTGCGTAATTATGGTAAACACTATATTTCTTTCTTTCCTCACTCACAATAACGAAGGAAGGGGAGCTTCCCTCAAACCTGTCTACTACAACTTCTTCAACAAAATGTTGATTATTCAAGAAAATAACTAAATGTAAAACGGTAAATCGTTCTGAAGCGTTATCTTTTTTTTAGTGGTCTTCCCAACAACTGAATTTGTGCTCAAGCAAAATCTGACAAATTCAAATCTGCTATTTGATAGACATCACTAAACGCCTTGTCAGACTGATTATTTTTCTACATTCATCACACAGCTTGGTGAGCTAACGTCAGACTGCGCTTAATTTAAATCTCCAAATTTAACTTATTCCTTGAGTTTAGAGAGAGATTTTTTCAGAACATAGATGTTTCTAAGCTAGAATAACAGGTTGGATATGACACTGCTGTTCTGTATGGGTGGTCGTTACGAAGACAAAATTTTTTTAGTTCTTGAAAATAAAAAAATTTCTGTTTACTAAGGCAGCTTTCCCGAGACTCTCTTATACTGTGTAGAGCAATTCAAGTTAGTATTGGGGTAAAATTAAACAGCTTAAATATGGTGTTTTTTTATAAGAAACGACTTTTTTTTCCAAACAATAAATTTGTTGAAGTAGAAATGCGTTTTTCCCCACTGCTCTTCTTTGATTCTTAAAAAAATTTGTTCAAAATCCTGTCATCGATTGTTCACCGCAATATACAAAATTTTGTTTATTTTAAGCCTTACATAAGACTATGTTAAAAATAAATAGCAGTGCATTCTGTGGCCGTATTGAACTTTCGGAAGTTCGCAAAATAAATAAAAGGAAAATTATCGGTGTTACTGAGTGACTATGAGAAATTTTGCGCGACAATGTTGCATAATGGCATTTTCAGCAAAAGTGGGCCAACCTATTCTTTGAAACTTTGTCTGTCGTCATCCAATTTCCGTCCCTCTTCTTGCGCCACTCAAAATCCCTTTTCAAAAACCTGCGTAGATTTTTAGCGTTATACGCTATATAGCTGTCCAAATGACCATATTGAACAATATTTGTATTATATTGGTCTTGATGGTGGAGGGATGTTTGATTTTGGCGTCAGCGATAATCACCAGCAAAGATGTTGCTCTAGTTGCTGCTGTTGCCATTTGGTAGTGTTGCTGATGGTTATGCTGGCACAGCGAGCATCGGCACCATCATCGATGCTGATACCAATGCTGTTGCAGTTGGTGCATTAGTGATCGTAAAAATTCATGTTGATATGTTTCACTTCAAAAATTTCAATTTTATTCATATTACACTAAATTTGCACTGTTTGCACAGTTAAGACATTCCAGAACTTTGAAATCTTCCGCTCTTTCTTTCATTCATCCCTTCCTTATCCTTTTCTTAAAACAGGCTTTTCTTTTTCCACTTTGCTGACAACTGAACTACAGATGCACAAATAATTATTGTAGTTCTCAATATCCTTTGTTTCTTGTCCTCCCCCTCTCATTTTATGCTAGCCGTTTTTTCTCCACTTTTAGCGTCTCATTGTCTGCAGCCCTCCTCATTGTAGCAAACATTTTTTTCTTCTTTGTTACCAGCCGTGAACAGTGTTTGCTTCCTTCGGTGGACAATGCAGGGGAAACAGCCACAAAACCCACGTTTCTATGCTTCCTGACAAGAACTGCTGATTTGGTTGTGATCGCAGTATGCCTGTAGATTGTTTGCCCAAACATACGGCAGCGACCGCAACAGCAGCAGAAGCAATCCCATTTAAAGGACGAAAAATGGTTGGACGCTTAGACTGGCAGACAGAGGAGGGCAGAGAAGCAGAGGGGACAGCCGCTTTCAGTTTTTGCGGCGTGAAATTTTTGTTCTGCCGTTGCTGCTGCGTTACATGGCGGCGGTTCGATTTTGTCGCTGGTGATCGCCTTGGACGCCGTTTTTTGTTGGCACAGCAGTGGTCTGCTGCATGCGATCAGCAACAAAATTAGAAAGCACATTTTTGGCCTGACGTTCCCAACTGAAGACGGCTTCGTACGTTTTGCGTTCTGCTGATAACTACTTTATCTTTTATTTTTATTTTTTATTTTTTGTTTTTGCTGCGTTTGTTTTTACCTTTTATATTTTTTGTCATTTTTTTAATCAATATTTTGAAAAATTTTAGAATTTTTATTATTTTCCTCTTGTTTGAAAAAAAAAAAAAA